CCTCTTTTCCTTTCCTTTCCCCTCCCTTCCTTTCGTTTCCTTCCCTTCCCTTGCCCTCCTTTCCTTTCCTTCCCTTCCCTTCCCTTCCCTTTCCCTCCTTTCCTTTCCTTTCCTTTCCTGTCCTTTCCTTTCCTTTCCTTTCCTTCCTTTCCTTTCCTTTCCTTTCCTTTCCTTTCCTTTCCTTTCCTTTCCTTTCCCTCCTCCTCCTCCTCCTCCGACGACGACGACGACGACGGCGCCGACGACGCCCGCCCGCCCGCCCGCCCGCCCGCCCGCCCGCCCGCCGTGGGCCGCAGAGTGGCCGGCCGCCGAGGGCCGCAGGAGGACCGCAGGAGCCGGCCTCACGCGCTCCGAGGGGGAGGCCCTCCCCCCCCTCCCCGATAAAAAGCTTTGGGCCTCCCAGGGTGGGCGGTGGTGCCCAGGGATGGCCGCCGAGGGCCGCGGGAGGGCCGCAGGAGCCGACCTCCGCGCTCCGAGGGAGGCCCTCCCCCCTCCCCGAAAGTTTTGGGCCTCCCAGGGTGGGCGATGGGAGGGGAGCCAAGTGGTTCCTAAGGGTGGTTCCGAAGGGTGGTTCCGAAGCACGGGCCCTCCCCCCTTTCCCCGGAAGCTTTGGGCCTCCCATACGGGCGGTGGTCAGGCCAGCCAGAACTGGGGGAGCTGTGGTCCCTTACCCCCCTGGGGGACCCATCGACCCATCGATTTCGACACCCCTCTCGAGAGAGATCGTCGATGCGATGGGTTCCCCCAGGGGGGTAAGGACCACAGCTCCCCCAGTTATGGCTGGTCGGGTGGTTCCTAAGGATGGGAGGGGATCCAAGTGGTTCCTAAGGGTGGTTCCTAAGGGTGGTTCCTAAGGACGGGCCCTCCAATCCTCCCAGGTGGTCGGTGGTTCCTGAGGGTGGTTTCTAAGGATGGGAGGGGATCCAAGTGGTTCCGAAGGGTGGTTCCTAAGGGTGGTTCCTAAGGGCGGGCCCTCCAATCCTCCCAGATGGTCGGTGGTTCCTGAGGGTGGTTCCCAATGATGGGAGGAGATCCAAGGGATGGGGTCCTGAGGGTGGGGTCCTAGGGATAGGAGGGAGCGCAAGGATGGGCTCAGCTTGTTCGAGGCACCTCGTCCTTAGGGCCCCATCTCTCAGGACCGCACCTTTGAGCCACCGAGACGGGGTCCGAGCAGATGCGGCCGGTGGATCGCGCCGCATCGCCGATGCATCGACGATGCGGCTTGATGTGAGCGACGCCCGCGTAAGCTCGCGCGTGAGCGCCCTCGTCTCCAATGTGGCGTGCCGCGCTAGTGGCCCGCGTAAGCCGCGGCAGAAGGTCGCTACGTCATTTCGCGTAAGACCCGTTTTTGATCGTCGCGCAGATGGGGTCCGAGCAGATGCGGTCGGCGGATCGCGCCGCATCGCCGATGCATCGACGATGCGGCTCGATGTGGAGACTGGTTTTCTCCACGCGGGTGTCGCCGATGCATCGCCGATGCAGTGCAATCCTCAAGCCCCATCCACGCTGACCCCATCTGGGAGGCCTCTCAAAGCGCGCGGGGGGGGGGGGGGGGCCGGCGGTTCGCCTGCGCGCTGATCGTGGGCGTCCTGGACGGCGTACCGGCGATCTTCGGGGAACCGACAAAGCTTCAAACCATATATTCTCGGAACTCCGTGCGGATCTCTCGGATCGGCGCTGGGGCCCCCTGGTAGCGCCTCCCGCGCGGCCCCTGGCCTGCTCGGGGGGCCCAGCGCGGATCCAGGAATTCCGCACGGAGTTCCAAGGGTTTGTGCTTATGCAGTTTTTGTTCTAGTGTTAGGTCGGGCATGTCCTCCGACAGGCGGATGTTGGAAGAAACATGAAACATCGTTAGTTAACACGAGAAATCGTTACCAGAGTCTGTTATAGGTTATACCTATTCTTGAATATTTGTCCTCTGGAGGGACATGTGACATGCCCGACGTAATTCTAGTGCTGGCTCGGGGGCGCAGCTGGTCGGCAGGGCCGACCGGCTCAGGGCGCCGGCGGCGCGAGCAGGACAGCAGCATGCAACAGGCACGGCACGCACGAGATTGGCCCGCCAGCCAGCGCACCATGGGAATGGCTCATTCTGCGATGGGCCCATAGATCCCTGAGGCGTCCTGCGAAATTCGTTTTCGACGAACCATGTGCCCTGAGATTTCTTGTGGCAAGGTTTCTTATCGTGTGTGTATGCTGCAGGCATACAGTCAGACCTAAAGGGGCGTAGAGGCAGCCACAGGTTGGACGCCCTAGGCCCTCGATTTGCGGCCACGATCTGAAGCACGCTAAGCTCAATCGTACACTAACCTCAGCACGCCAGGACCGATGGGAGCCGTCGTAGAGGCCTTGAACTCCATCTCCGTTTTTCCATCGTCTTCGTGCTTCTCCTCCTCATTCTCATCCTCGTCCTCCTCCTTTTCCTTTTCCTCCTCCTCCCCCTTCTCTCCCTCCTCTCCCATTCCCTCTCTCCGCCTCCGCATCCGTTGCCTGGCCTTGGGGCGGACTGTTGCTGCGGAGTTTCGGCCCTAGGGGCCGTTTCGAGGCCCTGCGGCCATCAAAGGTGGATTTGGGAGGAGGAGGAGGAGGAGGAGGAGGAGGAGGAGGAGGAGGAGGAGGAGGAGGAGGAGGAGGAGGAGGAGGGGGAGGAGGAGGAGGAGGAGGAGGAGGAGGAGAGGAGGGGGGAGGAGGAGGGGGAGGAAGAGGAGGAGGAGGAGAAGGAGGAGGAGGAGGAGGAGGAGGACGAGGAGGAGGAGGACTGGAGAGGTGTCCGAGACCTCTGGGGCCCCGGATGGAAACATCAGATCGTGGGATGTCTGGGCTTCCTATCATGCCGTCTCAGGGTTTCCAGTCCACAGGGTGCACGGCTTCCTCCTCGCTCCCTCTGCCTCGCCCTTTTGCTGTGTTTTCCTTCCTTCTCTTCTCGTCCTCGTTCTTGGCCTCCCTTCCTCGTCTTCCCCTTCCTCCTTCCTCGGGTAGATGGACTACTGCTTCGCAATTGCTCCGAATCCGAATCCATCGGGTAGATGGCTTCCTCCTCCTCTTCCTCCTCCTCCCCCTCCTCCCTCTCCCTATCGCCTGCTCAAAGCATTGCACGTCCTTCTGAGTCCTCTCTCATCGTCCTCCTCATGCTCTTCCTCCGTCTCCTCATGCTCCTCCTCCCTCTTTTTCTCTTCATCCGCCTTCCCCTCCCCTCCATCGCTCTCACTCGCCCTCCCTCCTCCCTTCTCCTCTTCATTTACCCCGCTTGCCGGAATCCCTGAGTCAGCATCCAGCATGCTCAAGTCATCCTGTTCGTCATTTCAGCGTCGCGAAACAAGGTTCGAGGTTCGAGGTTTGAGGAGGTTCGAGTCTCGCTCGAGGCCAGAGTTGTGGGTGTTAGCTTTTGTTACTTTGGGCTCTGGGAGGCTTTCCGAGGCCCCGCGAGCGGTTCTCCAAGGACCTTCAGAAGTCTTTGGAGACCCCTGAAGATCCAGACCTCTGGTCCATTTCTGGCGCCACGAGCAGCAGCGAGGGGTCGAGAGGCCCCGGGGCCCGTGCCAAGAGCACCTCCGGACGCCGGATGCCACTTGTGGAAAAAGGGGCCTCGTTCCTGATGTACACATCGTCCATTTCTAAGTATTCGAGAGTTCTTTGATTTTCTGGGGGGCCAAGATCCTTTCATTTTCTGGGGGCCAAGATCCATTTCATTTCTGGACCTCTTCCTGGCCACTACGGGGCCAGGAACAATTAGAAAGGAGCACAATTAGAAACGAGCACGATTAGAACTGAACGACGTGTAGGGTTCCTGAGGTCCACGCCGCGACTGCGATCGTGCTCGAACCGATGGCGACAGCCTCTGACGCGCCTCGGCGGGGTTGCCCTCGCTCATGCTGCTGCCGATGTTGCCACACGGGTGGCCCGTTGTCCATTGCACTCGAGCCTATCACCTGGCTCGATGCTTGCTTGCTGGGGACCCGGTCAGTGGTAGGGCCCCGGAGCCTTTGCATTGGCCAGAATCACTAAACCAGGTCTGCCGCAGCTGGTGCCTTCTCGGATGGCGGCAGTTCCGGTTCGTGGAGCGGGGCGGGGGGGGGGCGCCCTCCAGTACACAGCACTAAACCAGGTCCCACTGAACCCAGTTCTGCCAACGCCCGAGCTTGATCGCACCTAGATTCCCGAGCGTTTCCTTGAGCACCGTCACGATCTTGACTGGCCTCGGCAGGCCCTCCGGGTGGCCCGTGTCGGCCTCACGGCAGCCCCCGCGCCGCACCTTGCGGCGCCCCATGGCGGGCGCACCGCGCCGTTTGGGCTGGAAGTGTTTGGGCTGCCCTGGCCCTCCCGCGGGGGCTGCTGGGGCTGCCTCCAGGTGCTGCCCAAGCGCAGTAGGGCTTAAGTCGGGCTGGTCCCTCTACAGGAGGAATATTCAAACATAGTTTTACAAACATAGTCTGGGGACGATTTTTGGATTATGTTTGATCATTTGTTTTATCCGATATGTTTGGTGTAGTGTTTTAATTATTCGCCCCAAATCCGCCTGTAGGGGGACATGCCCGATCTGAGCGCAGGCCCAAGCCTTGCCACCCGCCGGAGGGAGGAGAAGCGACGTCATCACCAGCGAGCCTCCTCGAGCGCCTAGTTCCACGATGCCTCCCCGAGCTGGAGGCCGGAGGCTCGAGACGTCTCGGGCAGGGCCGCACCACCAGGAGGACCTGGCCCTGGCTCTTGTGGTGTTGGTGCCGTCTTTCATTGCCCCTTTCCTCGTTTCCTCGCAATGCATGTATCCAGACACCTCCGATCCTAGAGGCCATGGCCTCACCCACCTGGTCTGCTCTAGGCCCGGACGCTGTCCGCAACGGTGGTCGCATCGCATCGCAGCCCAGAGGGCGGCACGATCTCCAGATCCCAGGCTCCCGAGGGAGGAGAAGAAGGACTGACGCCGCGAGCTGTCGCTCCCGCAGCTGGTGTAGGAGAGGGGGGGGGGGTCAGGAGGAGCAGGAGGAGCAGGAGGAGGAGGAGGAGGAGGAGACTCCAGACGTTGTGGAATCTGATCCCCCCCTGCGGTGCAGGCGAGCATGCAGACGCTGGCCATCACAGTGGCGGCCATTGTGGGGATCGGGGGGGGGTCCTGTTCCTGCTCCTCCTCCTCTTCCTCCTCCTCCTTCTCTTCCTGCTACTCCTTGTTCTCCTCATCCTCTTCATCGTCTTCCTCTTTCTACTAGCTGGGCGCACTGGGTGCCCGAATTTGGCTGTCATGTCGGCACGAGGGTATTTTGCCAGTGGGCGCCCGCTCACGGCAGTTACGTCGATGAGGTCAGCTTGGTTATTTCGCCCTCCTCGACACATACGTAGTCCGACTGGTGAACCATATGGCTTGATTGTGAAGAAGCTCATTGTGACGTGTAAGCTTTCGGGGTGAGGTGGGCACTTCGCCGAATCATTTCGCGCAAACACAACACCGAGTTCCGCAGGGGTGAAGAAGACACTACGCACGTCTCAGGGGTAAGCTAGACACGACGCTGAGTCGCTACTAAACAAAAGCACCGGGCGCTCCTGGTGCGCCCCAGGGGCGCCTCAGGGGTGAACTTGACAGCACGCAAACTAAGCGAAAGTACTACGCACACACACACACAACACACAACACACGACACACACACACACACACACACACACACGCACAACACACACGCACACACACACACACACACACGCGACGCACGGATTCTACGCTGAACTCTTGCGCCCCTGGGGCCGCCCCTGCGGCGCTGCAGGGGCGCTTCAGGAGCACTCGGGAGCGGCACTCACGTGTGTAGTGGTTTAGCGTATTCTCTCATGCACCCCTGTGGCGTCTCCGAGGCGGTGCTGCGCGCTCCTTGGGCGAGAATGCCGACATGGCGTCCCTGCGGAGCTTCGGATTTCTGGCCGACGGCGAATGGCGTCCGCACGTTGGAGGCATCCAGGTGGCCGATGCGTCAACGGTCCCAGCGTGCGTCGGGCCCCTGCGCGGCACTCATCAGCGTAGTATTTTCTTGTTTCCGCTGCGTTTTCGCGTGGTGCCCTTGCGCGCTCCAGGGGCGCTCCAAGGGCGAGAACGACGAAATTGCGTCCGCACGTAGGCCGATGCGTCGAAGGTCCCAGGTTACGTCGAGCTCATGCGCAGCATTCGCTGGAGCGGAGTTCTTGCGTTGCCTTGTTGCGTAACGTCCCTGCGCGCTTCCATCCTGAGGCGCTCTTCTGGGCGACACTGACGAAGTCGTGCCCGCACGTGCGAGACGTCGGCACAGACATGGGAGGCATCCACAAAGTTGATGTGCCGCAAAGGTCCCAGCGGGCACTCAGAGGACCAAACGATGACATAAGCAGAACCACTCGGAGGTCCGCCAGGATTTCTTGGATCGACGCTGGAGCCCCCTGTCGGTGCCTCGGGCGTCGCCCCTGGCGCGCTCTGCGCGCCGGGGAGAGGGGTTGAGCGCCGATCCAAGAACTCTGCACGGACCTCCAACCGTTTCGGTTTATGCAGCTTGTTGTTCCGCTAATCCAGGAAGTCGACGTGTCGAAGGTCCCAGCGTGCATCGGGCTCCCGCGCGGAGTTCATAAGCCGTGTGTGTGTGTTGCGTGGTTTCTTGTCGTAGAGTTTTTGCGCGCTCCCTGGGCGAGAATGACGGCCTGGCGTCCGCACGGAAGCTGATGAGCTCTCGTGAGCTCCTGGCCCACCAAGCGGAATGCGGCTTTACGCAGACCCAACTTGGAGCCTCGCCCTCCCTGGTTTCCTGCCAATCGGCGGCGCGCCCAGGGGACGAGTCAGAGGGGGCGGGCCTTCTCAGAAGGCTCCGAAGGCCTGCGGCCTTTTTAACAAGCTTTCTAAGCCTTCTGCGAAGCCGCAGACGCTTTCCCAGCCTTCCGAGAAGCCCCGCCGCCTTTGAAGAAGGCATGCCCCCTCTCACTCCCTCCTCTCTGGGCGCGCAGCCCAGTTGACTGTCCACGCGTCGCCTCCCGTAGTGGCCCCGCAAGCCCTGCGGGCCTGGTCCCGACCGAGGCCCCGCCCCCTGCCCCGATGCCCGGCAGGCCCCAGCGTGCTCGCGCTTTGGCACGCGCCTGCTCCTCCTCCACCATCCTCCACTTGTTCCTTCTCCTCCTCCCCCTCCTCCTTCTTCTCCTCCTCCTCCGCCGTCCTCCTCCATCCTCCTGCCAAACTTAGCTTGCGGAAGAATGGCAACTGGTCCTCCTCCTCCTCCTCCTCGTCCGTCCTCCTCGTCCTCCTCCTCCTCCTCGTCCGTCCTCCTTGTCCTCCTCCTCCTCCTCCTCGTCCTCCTCCTCCTCCTCGTCCTCCTCCTCCTCCTCGTCCGTCCTCCTCCTCCTCCTTCTCCTCTCCTCCTCCATCCTCGCTCCGTCCTGAACTCCCATCCTCCATCCTCCTCCGCCGTCCTCCCTCCATCTCCCCCCCACAAGTCCTCCTCCTCCTCCTCCTCCCTCTCCTCCTCCTCCTCCTCCTCCTTCCTCCTCCGTCCTCCCTCCGTCCTCCTCCTCCGTCCTCCCTCCATCTCCCCCCCGTCGTTCTCTGCCCCCCCCCGCCACCCGCATGGGGCGCCAAGGTGCTCGCGCGTCGCCCGCCGGCCGCTGCCCGGGCGGCAGGGGGGGGCCTCCTCCAGCGCGGGGCCGCGGTGGCGCGACGGTGGCCGCGCGTCGCGGCGGCGCGCGGCGCGAGGCGGGCGGCGCGCGGGCGCGCGCGCAGGCGTGCGGATGGCGCGCGGCGCGGGCGACCCCGGGAGAAGCGCAGTCGTACAGCACGGGGGGGCGCTCCCCGAGAGCTGCCGGGGGGCGGCGATGGAGCCCGGGGGGGCGCTGCGCGGGTCTGGGCGGCCTGCTCCATGCCCCCGCTGCGCCCAGGTCTTGGCCGAGGGAAAAGATATGAGCGGAGGGAAAACGAGAGCGGAACATCTTCGAATCCTTGGACGAGGCGCGAGAAAACGCATCCTCCCTCCATGAATCACCTTCCCTCGCTCTTCCACCCGACCCTTCTTCCATTAGCCTCCCTCCCTCTTCCGCGGCGCCGTGTTTGTTGCAGCCCGACCCCGAGATCCCGACCCCTTCCATGCAACATGTTTGGGGGGCTCGGTGTTTTATTTTCCCCATCCATAATTATCCTCAGGATGAGCTTCTTGTCATTATTCTCACCACGCCGAGGACCCACACCCTCCTCCTCCTCCTCCTCGTCCTCCTCCTCCTCCTCCTCCTCCTCCTCCTCCTCCTCCTCCTCCCCCTCATCTTCCTCCTCATCCTCGTCCTCGGAACTACTCAATGTCACTCAGAGTCACACTCAGGGCCACTACTAAGGTTATGTTATGATGATGCTGGCGATGAATGATGATGCTGCTGATGATGGTGATGCTGTTGCTGCTGCTGATGATGATGCTGATGCTGATGCTGATGCTGATGCTGATGGCGACAATGATGATGATGATGATGATGATGATGATGATGATGATGATGATGATGATGATGATGCTGGGGAGGATGTTGGGGATGATGATGATGCTGATGATGCGCTGTTAATAATGATGACAATGGTGTTGGTGTTGCTGCTGCTGGTGATGATGATGATGATGATGACAAAAGAGGATGGAAACGATGCTGATGATGAGGAGGATGGGGATGATGAGGATGAGGGTGAGGATGAAGATGAGGATGATGATGATGGTGATCATGCTGATTAGGATGGCGATGATGATGACGACGACGATGATGATGATGACGATGCTGATGATGATAATGATGATGCTGCTGATGATGATGCTGCTGATGATGATGATGAGGATGATGATGACGATGATGATGATGATGATGATGATGATGATGATGATGATGATGATGATGACGTTGATGATGATGACGACGCCGGAGCAGATTTTGAGGATGTCTCGGGCGAGGTGCTGGTTTCAGCACCCCCAAGGGGGGCCGCCAGGTGGTATACCACGCCTCCGTTCGCGCCCAGATTGTGAGGATGTCTCAGGCGGTGTGCCTGTTTGGTTGTTCTATACCTTTCGCTTTCAGAGCAGATGCTGAGGATGTCTCGAGCGAGGCGGTGGCTGTCGGATCCCAGGGGGCCAGCTTGCGAGGACGTTTCTGCGTTCAGGTCGGGTTTTAGCTGTTTTACGTATGTCCCTGTAGATTGCCGCCCCCTTGTGGCTCCAATCATATGTGTTGTACGCATGTTCCCACAGATGGGGCCTCTCCTGGGGCACGAATCCTTTTGTGCTTTACGTATGTGACTATAGAGATTGCCCCTCTCAATGTGGCTCCAATCCTTTTTGTGGTTTGCGTATGTTCCTACAGATCGGGCTTCTCCTTGGGCACGAATCCTCCCCAGGAGGCCCCACGAGGTTCCAGGAGGCTCCAGGAGGCACGAGGAGGCTCCAGGAGGCCCCAAGAGGTTCCAGGATGCCCCAGGACGGACACCCCAGGGGCCCCAAGGAGGTCCCAGGAGGTCCCACCCCTGGGGCACGAATATTTTCTGTATATGTCGTATGTTCCTATACATTGCCCTTATCCTCTGGCCTCAATCCCACGTGTGTTCATTCTATTGCTATAGATGTTGTCTCTCCTGGGGCACGAAGCCTTGGTGTTTTACATTTGTTCTGATAGATTGCCCCGCTCCTGTGTGGTTCCAATCCTATGTGTTTTACGTCTGTTCCTATAGTCAGGAGGGTAAAAAAACACACAGACACAATTAATCGCCGATTCCCCAGAAAATATGGGAAAATATGGGAAGTGGGGGGGAATACAAAAAACCAGGAAATAAGGCAAACTATGGGGAGTCCTGTCATTTGTGAACATTTTTTTGTGTGTCCCAGTGCCCCTTCATGTACGTCGGGCCTCTCCTCTCCGTGGCGTGGCTGGCCGTACCACGGCCCAGCCACTGCGTGGGATCTTCTGGGCCAGCCCACGAAGCGCAAGGGTTCCGCACAGCGTTCGCACGAACACCCTTACACGCCGGTCGCTGATTGTAGGTATTTTTGGATTCCCAAATCCCAATCTATTTCAAGCGCCTTCCTGCTTCAGGAATCGGCACGCTTTTGCTGTGTTTGTAATTCCCTGGGGGGGCCTGGGCCCAATCCACTTAATCCGCCTTCCTACTTCATGTTTTTGCCTACTTCTTCCGACCGGCGTGTATTCCTTGCTTCGTCATGGAGGGAGGGGTCGCATAGCCATTTCGATCCAGCCACGCCCAGTCACTGACGCGCAGATACGCCCATCTTAAGCTTAGCTATGCTCAGGCTCATGCGCGTAGACGCACTCGAACTACTGAGACTCATCCACTCTCCGTCTGTCAGTACTCCAGCCCGCTGATTTTCGACGAAAACTATTGCGCTTAGACGCTCACGGCGACAGTCCCACGCAAATAGATGCACAAACGGGGGGCTCCACGCAGTGAGTAATCAATTGCCCGGGCCCCCGACCCCCCCAACCCCCCCAGGGGCTGGAATTTTGGAAAGACGACGTGGTTTAACAGGTCACGACGTGCAAGGGGGATGCATACATATCCACGGCCTCGCGGTCTGGACCGCATACTGGGAGGGCGCGCTGGGAGGGCGCGTCGGGAGGGCGCGGGGAGCGCACGCTGGAAGGGCGCACCGGGGAGGCGGACTGCCTGAAAAAACGCCTGGTCGTACCTTCGTTTCCCCTTCCATCTCCCTCCTAGCCCCCCTCGCTCTGATCCGCAATGGCGGGGTGCTATATATCCACGGACTCGCTGTCTGGACCCCTCGGCTGCGACCCCTCGGATGCAGGGCGGCTCCGCGCGGATGTTCCGTGCCTCGTGAGATCGCGCATGTTTGGGCTTGCGCCTCGCCATGACCAGACCGCGCGGGCACGGAGGTGAGTGCCGCTTCTCGCCGTCCCTTCCCGCTCCTTGGGGAATGGGGAGGAGAGGGGGGGTGGGGGAGGAATAGGAGGGAAGGGAGAAAGAAAACGAAGTCGAGGAGGAAGAGGGTAGGGGGGAGGTGGGGGCGTGTTATTATTGTTTTTGTCGATCACGAACAGCCTTCGGAGGGCCTGGGCCCCCCCCCCCGGAGCCCGGGGCGGAGCAGTGGGGGGTGGTGGGCGGCGACAGACTGGGCGAGCGGGAGGTTGGCGTCGTCTTCTTGGCCGGCGTCGTGGTGCTGCATTGCTTTGTCAGGAACTCGCCGCCGTCGTCGTCTTCGTCGCCGTCGTCGTTTCTATTTTGCGACATGCAGCTCATTATGTGCATTTGCTCGAAACATAGGCGGGCGAAACATTGTACACCTATGACCATACGTATACACACGTCGTCGTAACAGTACTCGTAGATGTAATGGAAGTCGTGGTAGTGGTTGTGGAAGTAGTGGTATTATGAGTAGTAGTAGTAGTAGTAGCAGCAGCAGCAGCAGCAGTAGTAGTAGTAGTAGTAGTGGTAGTAGTAGTAGTAGTAGTAGTCGTAGTAAAAGTAGTAAAAGTAGTAGTAGTAGTAGTAGTAGTAGTAGTAGTAGTAGTAGTAGTAGTAGTAGTAGTACAAGTAGTAGTAGGAGTAGTAGTAGTAGTATTATTAGTAGTAGTAGTAGTAGTAGTAGTAGTAGTAGTAGTAGTAGTAGTAGTGTAGTAGTAGAAGTACTAGTAGTAGTAGTAGTAGTAGTAGTAGTAGTCGTCGTCGTAGTCGTAGTCGTAGTCGTAGTCGGCGTTGTCGAAGTTGTGGTCGTAGTTATAGTCGTAGTGATAGCAGTCGTAATCGCCGGCGTAGTAGTAGTAGTACTCGTGGTAGTGGTAGTAGTAGTAGTAGTTTCAAGACTGGTGGTTGTATTAGTAATTGAAGTAGCAGTAGTGGTAGTAGTAATAATAATATTAGTGGTAGTCGTTGTAGTAGGAGTAGTGGTAGATGTTTTAGTATCCGTACTCGTATCAGTACTTGTACCTAGAAGTCCCAGTAGTAGTAGTAGTAGTAGTAGTAGGAGTAGGAGTAGGAGTACGAGTAGGAGTAAGAGTAGTAGCAAAAGTAGTAGTAGTAGTAGTAGTAGCAGTAGTAGTAGTAGTAGTAGTAGTAGTAGTAGTGGTAGTGATAGTGGTAGTAGTAGTAGTAGTAGTAGTAGTAGTAGTAGTAGTAGTAGTAGTAGTAGTAGGAGTAGTAGTAGTAGTAGTAGTAGTAGTAGTAAGAGGGTGAGTGAACGTATTAGGCGTAGTGTTAGTTGTCGCGGTAATCGTAGCAATAGTAGCAGTAGTA